GCTTGTATTTTGCCCTGAATATTAAGCATAAATCTTTCAATTATTGTGTATCCAAGAATGTGGCCTAACAATCAAAGAAGTGGGGATGAAAAGTCAGGGAAACTAGAGTTCAAATTCTACGAGAGGCAAAAAATGCTAGATGATTTTTCTCCATCTGCTTAAGCCTTGATCGACACTGATAGCAAGTATTCAGTAGAATAATCAACATGCGCATAGGCTAGTCCGAACACCACCGATATCAACAAACAAATAAATAAATCTTTCTATTGTTAAGAACTACACCAATTTTCTCTTTTAAGAGTTCCAATATGAACATTGGAACTATTCTTAGGAACTCAAAGAACAATTGAAAATAGTCAAAAGTTGTGTAATACTAACCTCATCCTCCACCATACTTTGATTTACTTTTTTTCTTGAAAGCTGATCTTGTAACTAGCAAACAAGCAACTCCTAAACCCACACCAACCATTCCACCCAAGACTATAGCCACTGTCTTTTGAGTACTCTGCCTTGTTCCTACACCATCAATAAAACACAGTAGATATTTCAATAATTAAAAACCTTGATCATTTCAAAAATTATCTACTACTCCTATTGTGAAAATGATCTCAGAAACCCATTTAACAAACCAAAAAAAAAAAATAAAAAAATTAATGAATGTCACTTGGTAATACAAGTGTTAATCAATGCACAAAATACTTCAGGACTATTGAAAGTCATCGAAAATGCAACTTCAATTGTACTAACAACTACATCTTAATCGAACCCGATAGTGTAATTTAATAGTCAATAAAGTATGTTAAAAACATAAGAAACTAATTCAAATTCTGAATTCCAATAGAGGGGAAAAACATTTGATGATTTCTTTTATCTGTCTAAGCTTTGGCAAACAAAATTACGAGTTGTCACATCCAGTGAAGTAGTTGGATGCACGTGTAAATTCGCCATGACACCATCATTATAAAAAATAAAGAATAAAAATAAAAAACTATTACACAATTCCAAAGTAATTTAAAATCGACTATATGAATTTTCTATATCAATCTTATTTCATTTGAACTCATTTCATTCAATTACTAATTAATTTGTCTTTAGAAAAACTTTACTATACTTATAAGACACGGGTTTGAGCCGTGGAGCCGTGGAACAAGGGTAAAATTATCTCTGTGTGACCTACATGTCACGGGTTCGAACCGTGAAAGCATCCACTAATGCTTGCATTAGGATAGACCGTAGACTGTTTACATCACACACACCCCTTGGGATGCGGTGTTCACCTGATCCTGCGTGAACACGAGATATCTTGTGCATCGAGCTGTTTTTTTATTTATTTATTATTATAATGATAAGTGATAATATTAAAAATTACCTGATGGAGAAAGTGATTTACCGGGCACACCATTAGGATAATAAGTGTAACTAATATAGCACTGTTGCAGATACATATGAGCAGAAATAGAATTCCCACATTCACTTTTAGCTTTCCCAACAGCATTTTTCACACAGTTCACACAGTCCCCACTCTCTAAATCACCTTCACACTGACCCAACACATAAACCGACTGATACCCACCTGCATAAAACCCATTCCCACTCGAAACCCCTTTACTTATTTCTCCTAACGCAGTCTCAAGCTTATCACTAAACCCAGTTCCACTCGCCTGAGTTGAACCGCAAACTTTAAACAGCAACTCAGTGGGTCCCACTGTCTGAAACCCAGCAACCTCGTACCTTAAATAACACCCATTGAGCTGAATTCTTGCTGCTATAGATTCTCCACATAGTTTTTGGGACATGTTTGGTATTTTCTTGACACAATTGTTACAGTCAGAGTTTGAAAGATCACCTCTGCATTGAAAAAGACCAGAAATTGCTGAACTGCCACTACCAGCTGTGGTTTTGTAGAATTTTGTGGTTAAAGATTGTGAGACCAAGTTGTTAAAAAGGGTGTTTAGTGTTTGTGAGTAAAACCCAGATGGGAATTTTTGGTTAGCACAGCCTTTGTATACAAAGTTTGTAAGTTGTTCAGATGATGAAGATACAAGATTAATGGGAAATAAAAATGAAGAGAGAAATAGGAAAAGGATGGAGAATGTTTTTTTGGGAATTTGAGATGGACCCATTTTAGGATTTGAATATTGGAATAAGTATAAACATGAGATGAGATGCTTGTTGGAAGAATTTGATGTGTGTTGGGGGTGGGGGTGGATTTGGTTTTTTGGTGTGTTTCTAGAGGCTATTTATTAGGCTAAGAACAAAGAAGAAAGTGAAATAGTATTAGGGGGCTTTTTTATGGTTATGGGATAAACTTCCTTTTTAAGTACTTAGCCTTGCCTAAATAGTTGGCAAATAATTTAATCAAATGTATGCTATGACATGCATCATTTTACTATAGTCGTTTTCAGAGTGTTCGGTTCATTTTGCTTGCATCCTGGTTATTCTATCGGATATTTTTTTTTTATTTGGACATAGTTACTGTATTCATCCAAACTTAGATAGATGGAAAAGAAATTAATTTTTATCTTTGTTGGGGTTTAAATTTAAATTTTTTCGTAATTTTCTCTCATTTTATTGACCGCTAAATTATACCTTTGGATGGTTGAGCCAAGACCATTTTCAATGGAAGTGATTAAATAAGTTTATAGTATTACAAATAGCGGTAGATGTATCAGGTAACCAATGAGTTTAACCGATTCAACAAATATTAAATTTTAAACTCATAATTTAAAAAATACAATGCATTCACTAGTAATAAACTAAAGGTCAAACCAATCAAATTTAAATGTTGAATTCGCCTCTAATTCTAAGCTAGCATTTAGTCATAGATTTTCAAATTTGTTTTAAAAAATCTGATTTGGTGAAGTTTGGTTTGAAGATGAAAATATGTTTTGACATATTTTTTCAAAACATATTTCACTTTTTCTTTGTTTGAAAAAATATGAAATGTGACTTATACCCATAAGTCTAAAAACTATCAAAAATACCCAACAATACCAAACAAACAAAGTTGTTAATCTTGTACATGTAGAACCTTCGTTGATGTCATTCATTATCATTATCACAAACCATAGTCCTGGACATATAAGTTTGGCACAAAATTATCATTTTTATAATGAACTACATAATACACTATCCTAAAATCATAACTTGATATTTTAATATCAAATGCTAATAACATAATTATTAGCCACTATAATTCGTCAAATTGCAATAACATTACAAGATTCATCAGTCCAAAAAAAAAATGATACTAGTAATTAGCTGGTGGTTAGTTGGATCATAATAGATGGTGGTCTTTTTTATAAAATACAAAAATTTGGGGTAATTTTTGAAATTGTTAAAAAATCTAATAGTGATATTTTGGGCCAAAAACATGTCTAGAGCTAGTTTTGTGATTTGAAAAATTTGTTTTCAAAACATGTATAAAATCTAAAAACAAACATGTTTTGCCAAAAAAAAAAATTTGGAAAAATCTTGGCAAAATCTATGGCGAAACCGGTGTTAAGTATTAGTTGTCAATAGAATTTTATTCTCACTCATCCGTCATTATACCCCACTCTTTTTCTTTAGTTAAGTTTAAGACTAATCATATTTTGCAAAACTTTCTTAAACAGAGTTTTAAAAAAAAAAGTGCAATGAAATGGAGTAAATGTTATGACAGACATTATTAACTAATGCCATTTTCTATTGGAATTTCATATAGTTTCTGGTACTACTTAGTTGGCAAATGAACAAAGAGAATGTGATTTGCATGCCAAATGTACGACAGTGTCTGGCTAATGAGCAGTGAAGAAAAGGAGAATGTGATTTGTCTGCCTTTTGGTTGGGACATTGGGCTCTGTTACTTATAACATTGTAAATTTATAACTGTATCAGTATATTATATTACTGTACGAAATAAATGTGGAAAATGCCCTCTGCACGGTGAAATGGGAGGGGCAAAAAGCAATACATTCTCCAGTTGGTTGAAATGAGGGATGTGCATTTATAATTAAATTCGTAGCTAATTGGAATTTTAATTAGTACCCTGATCTGAATTTTCAATGGAAAGGTTTAAGAATTAAACATTCGTGTTAATTTTAAGACGCTAATATAAAATGATATCATTTTACTTGACATTTTAAAAAGAAAAAAAAAGGTACGAAGGAGGAGGAGGAGGAGGAGTATGAAATTTGTCAAATTGGATTACAATTTAAATTATGTTTAACGATTGAATATGTTTCGAACGGTACGCTTGAAATCTAAAATAATTGCAAAAATATGACACTTCTTAGAGTGGTTTTTAACTTTTGATCCCCGTTTATCCCATAAGCAAAACTTCAAGGTTAAAAGTGTGGCCATGGGAAAAGCGAGAGCCAACATTCGTTAAACTTGAAGTTATGCAAATGTAACAAGTAGGGATAAAAATTCAAGACTATCCACTGTGAGGGCTATTTGTATACTTCACCACTTGAAATCGACTACGTCGTGCCATACTACGTCGTGCCATTTCTATACTTTTTTGTGTGGGAAACTATCAGCTATGTCCATTTACACGTAGGTTATTACAAAAATGGTCAATTTATAAAATATTACTTATATTAGCCAATTAGTTATTTGTAGTCAAAAAAGGTCAGTTTTTTGCTTCATTTTGAGTGAGTGTTATTAGAATAGATTGGGTACATCTTAAGGAGCTTGAATCTCAATTTTTTGAATGATTTAGTGGAGTTTTGAGGTAGTTTAAATTAAAAATTCAAGTAGAAGATGTACATGGAAAAAAAAAATGATAGGTATAACACAGTGTTTATCACATGTATATCCATGTATACCTGTGTGTGAGATACATGCGTGATACATGTGTCGCAAAAGAATTTTTTGAACTCGATTTTAACTACGAATTTTGATACCAAATCAGTCCAAAATCACCTCCAATCTTCCTCAAAATTTGTATATTGACTCATCTATATGTTTTTAATGAATTTCAACCATATCCGTTGAAAAAAGATCATTTTTTGCTTAAATTTTTGGAATATATATATATATATATATATATATATTTTTTTTTTTTTCCCTCTATATTTCATCACCTTATTTGCTACCTCATCCATGAGATTTCCTTTCCGTCTTGCATCTAATTTTGCTAATCACGCTTAAAAATATGGAAGGAGATCTTTGCGTGTGATTCTTAGAGAGAAAGAACCTTATTTATTTGAGTTTTTAATTTTTATACGTGCTTGACTAATTATGATAAGTGTATAATTAATAATTAGAGATTGGTAAGTTGGGTCTTATTTGGGACATTTATTTAAGATTCCCTTTGTTGGTCCATTTGAAAAGAAGGCCCAAGACTAAATTCTTTCTTTATCAGGCTGTAATGAACTGCAACTCGAAATTCTAAGCCCAAATATATAAGGCTTTCAGCCTCATTCTCCTCAACGCTCCTCTCTTCTACGTCTGAAAATTGCTCCCTCTCCACATCTCTCGCTGTCTCTCTCTGCAGAAAACTCCTCACTGTATCTTTCTCCAACGCAATCAAATTGTACGTTTCTCATTTTCTATGGTCACCTCTCTTCTCTACATTTTTTTCCTTTCTATATTTCTTTGATTTTACAAAAATC